CAGGTGACCTTTTGACACCCCATAATAGAACAGGTCAGAGCTCACCGTGTTTGAATTTTTTTTACAGCTTTTCTCACAATATTATATGAAAGATTGTTTCATAAAATAGGAAATATAACAGCTAAAATGATAACAGAGATCATGGGGCTATAACTGAAATATTTTTGCCTGGTGAGTCTCTGAAAGTATTGAGTTATAGTGTTTATGATGGAGATCTTGTGTCTGTAGCATCATCTAAATTGCACTCTTTTTGAAAAATATAAGCCATCTATGTCATAATGCTGTGCATGTGTTACAGAAAATGCAGCAAATCTTGAGTACCTGCTGTATTACTCAGGAATATGATACCACATCCCTAAGAAATAGAATGCAGCAGGCCTATAGCGTATTGTTTCCTATAAGAGTGAGCCATTATCCATTTTATAAGCTCTGCCTGCTTCTGACTATAGGGGTCTATTCACAAAGCTGCCGAAGGATCCAGCCGTAGCTTCGGCTGATCCTTCGGTTAGCTTCAGTTGCGGGAGCCCTTCGGTTCAGCCCGTACAGCTCCCGAACGGTCCAGCCGAGACATATGCTTTGGCTTGACTGAACCAAAGTGACAGCCAAAGCCGGACGAACACCTTGCAAATGACAGCTGGGCCGGGCTGGCTAGCTCCGCCCAATTATTATTATTTTTTTAATCTTTATTGATTTTTAAAAATGTATTTATTTACATTGTTAAAAAATGTTTTCAACTTTTTTTTTTCTCATCTTTTTTCACTATTTGCTATTCTGCTCGGTACCACAGGGGTACCAAGCAGAATAGACGACCCGAATACCCCTCTGTAGCATTCAGCTATTCGCACACTGCCGTACGGCCCCTATGTGAATAGGGGCGAACGGCAGTGAGTGAGCTACCGGAGCTAGATGTTGGATCGGCTGAGTCGAAGTCCTTCTCCGCAGAGCATGTTCGGCTGACTGAAGTGCAGCTGAAGGCAGCCGTTGTATGGCTGATTTCAGCCGATGTACGGCTTAAATCAGCTGTACTGAGCTGTAGTGAATAGCCAATAGCTGCAGGGAACGTTCTAGCAGCCAGGCAGGACCGAGGATCAGGTGAGTATATCCTCATATTTTTGTCCCTAGACCACAATGAGCACTTAACCCTTAATAATATTCCATTATGAAATAAAAATGAGATGAGGAAAAGATTCACACCATTTTAATATCATATTCTGCAGTGTTGCAGAAGCGTCAGCTGTGTTTACACTATAAAAGATTTCTATATAGCTCCTTTTCAAGTAACACTAAATCAGAATAAACACTAATTTAGGTGAATATTCAGTATGTGAAATATCCTTTAGTAAATTAACCACTGGGCTGAATGAGCAATGGGGGCTTTAGGCTTTATATCAAAGCAATGCACAGCTTTGTCAGTAGAACATGAAGTAAGAAGAAAGTGGTAACAGAAAGCAATAAATAACTTCCATAGCCCAATATCAATGCTCCTTCACAGCAACACTAGAGAGAATGGCGGGGGGGCACCAGCCGAGCCTGTCTTGCTCCAGCATCAGCAGTTATTACAGAAACAAAATGTCCAGTCGCACACCGCAAGCTTCACTGAAAAGTTTTTTGTAGCACACAGGTAAACACCGTCCCGCCATGGATCCTTTTCACTCTGATATGTTTCACCCAGTAATGAGTTTAGTTATAGAAGAGGGTACAGGCAGTGGGCATTTATGCAGATTGCAGATTAACAAGTTCATTACAATGTTAAAGGAAAAACAGCACTAGTTCTTATACCTGATAATCATATGATATAACATCACAAGAACTACCACAATGCACAATTCATTAGCAAAATGAAAACCAATTTAATCCGAAAAAGGGGACTGAATAGGTAATAGAGTGGAAAGGCGACATTAGGACCAAAAAGGGGGGTAGGGGAAGGGAGAATAAAGCGAGGACTGGAGAGGGGAAAGGGTATGAGGGGAGAGGAAGGAGAGAAGGGGAAAAGAGGGGAGTTCATTCATAATAGTGAGTGACATCCCATTCATAGGGGTCTATTCACGAAGCTGGCGAAGGATCTGGCCGTAGCTTCGGACGATCCTTCGGCTAGCTTCGGCCCCTTCGGTTCTACTGAACCGAAGGGGTGCTGTACGGGCTATTCACAATAGCCCGTACAGCTCCCGATCATGGCCGAGCGGCTCAGCCGAGCCGAACGCATATGCATCGGCTGAGCTGTGCTGAAAGCCGATTAGTGCTCTTATGGGTCCTAATATTAGATAGATGGTCCATCGTTCTATCACACAGTCTCCTATCCAGATTTTGTTTCTTACAGATGTCTGGTTTGACAATTGACTAATTGTCTAATTTGTACATTATGAAACAACATTTTTTTCCTGGTGCACAAAACCATAGAATATGTTATTCTATAAAAAGAATAGAAAAAACACAGTAACATTATAACATAGTATATACAGCTATTTGACCTATAACGTGACACTAAACTCAGGAGTTAAATATTAAAAATGCGTTCAAGTACCCTATTAACAAAAATGTATCTTATTTATGTATTACTCAGCTGTAGATCCTCAAATGATCTCTGAATTGGTGCTGACACTGTCCTTCCTTCTGGAGGGTGGCTACTTTTGTTCCACATGGTCCCTGTGTGTGTTGTAAAGTAGCCACCACTCCAAACTCTCTCCCGTGATAGACTACAACTTAATTACAAATGATCTAAATAAACATGAGATTGTAGTCCATCATGGGAGCGAGTTTGGATCGGTGGCTACTTAACAACACACACAGGGACCATGGGGAACAAAAGTAGCCACCCTCCAGAAGGATGGAAGGACAGTGTCAGCACCAATTCAGAGATGATTTGAGGATCTACAGCCGAGTGATACACAAATAAGATCCCGTTTTGTTAATAGTTAGGGTACTTGAATGCATTTGTAAGATTTAACTCCTGAGTTTAGTATGACTTTAAGCTCCTTGAGGGACTGGTGTGAATTTACAGTATGTAAAGCACAGCATAAATTGTCAGGGTGTTAAAATTACCTATAAATATAAATAACCCACCAGGAAACAGAATCAGTAATATATGACACCTAGGTCAGGAGATCATAAAAAGATACCATGCATAATTTGTATATGTTACATGTACTTGTAACAATCAACCACTTCAGCTCCCGTACCTGTATCCTTCTTATGAACCAGAGCAATTTCTTCTATGGGCTTATTTATTTGGCGATAACTTTGTCATTACTTAAGATAACAAGTAATACATACATTGTGTGTGTGTGTGAAATTGAATCTGTGAAAGCATATTGGGGAGGACCTGGAGTGTAGCTACAATACTTAGAAACACTGATTCATAAAGGTGGTCTTATTTGATATCCATCATATTTCAGAATCACTGAATTTAAGTGACCTTTATACATCACAGTGTTTCTAAGTATTTTGAATTGATTGTATCAAAAAGATATATCCTGAGGAAAGATGTTTAGGATACCTCTTTAGAAGTTGTATTAGTTTCTTACAGGGTTTTTTTTTTAGGGGTTTAGACCTAGCACATGAATGTCAAGTGACACTGATCCAATAAAATTCCTGCAAAGTATTACATTTTGATATCTAGGTAGCTTTTTGTATGATTCACATTCTCATCACTTTCATGTTTATATGACCTTGATATATGCACCTATATAATGATTATGTGGGTACAGTGGTGTTCACATATTTAAACGGGTAGGGTTGACTTGGTATATAAATGTATTTATTATTTGCGATCTTTCAGTTTCTAATGGTCTGCAGAAATCAACATTTTTGTTTATCGGCTTTGTGCGGGATACCCCCCATATTAATTGATCTACATTCTATATACATTTTGTCTATTATATTACTACAAGACTAGGGGCCATTGGTTTGATATTGTTTTTAGCTTTTTAAATTGGGGGTTGGGGGGAGGGAGGCATTCTCCTTTTTGTAATAAAGTGACTTATGTGGGGATGTACATGGTCTGTGGGCTCTGTATTATTTAAAACAGTATCAGTTTGATGTCTATATTTACAATTTGTGTAGTCACTCATTTATATTTGGGTAAATGACAGCCTGTGGTAGCCTAAAAATAGGGTATTTGTATGGTCTAGCGTATGATACTGTTTTACTATAGACTGTGGACTGAATAGGGTTTGTAGGCCTTAAGTTTAGGTTTGGATTAAGTTCAATATCCCTACGTGGTTAATGAAGGCACTAGCTTGTGCATATTCCCAATATACCAATGGCCAAGTCATCTTACTGGCATCACCATGTGGCAAGTAAATATCCTCTCTTACAATAGATCCCATTTACCCCTCATTTTGAGGGACTGTCACTGTTTTTGGAGTCATATTCCTCTGTCTCTCTTTCCTCTTCAGTTACCCCTTTTTTTTTGGTCAAACGTATTGCCTGCTACTATTTAACTATAAAGAGTGTTTGCAGTAACTGCAGTAAACTTTTCATCAAACTTGTTAATAGGTATATTTACAAGTATAAAGGAATGGTAGTGGTGAAAAATGCACTTGTGAGTTTAGCCCATTACTTTTTAAATATTAATGGTATGTGGCACATAATTGTAATTGGGAGTGTGGCGGGGTGTGTGCTTTGCCTACATGTTTTTTGTTAAAAGGTGTCCCTATTTCTCTTTTAGGTTAGAAGTTGGGAATTATACACTAGTGAACAAATTGTTTCAGCACTGTTACCTGTTGCCATCCTTGCCCAACACTGAAAGCAACACAAGCATGGTGACCTTTTTTCCCCCTGTGTGTGTGTGTGCGCATTTTTTTGTTATTGAGTGTCCTATTTGTTATTTAATTTCTACTGGGTTTTTTGTTTGTATTACTGCTTTTAGAAGACAGCTAGCTGAATCTTTTCTAACTACAAAAAGACAGACTGTCTGACATCTGCTACAACATTGCAAAAAAATCTTCATTTACATATCAATCCAGAAATAACAAATAGGTAGCAAAAAGACAGTATAATTGATGTTTCTTTTCTTTTTCTCTTTTTTTTTTCCCTACTTAGATGCTGCATCTGGATCTGGAGAAGGAGGTAAGATACAATTTTATTGATGACTTTTTTTTTTACTGGATATACACTGAACATGCAAATGTATGATTTTATGGATAGAAGGGGCATATACAGATAGCTATTTCTAAAGCTAAAATGTGGGGAAAAAATCGACACAATTAAAATACATATTTCTGAAAGATACCCAAATATTTTTTAATTCAAACACTTCTGCCACACTACATAGCCAGAACGGTGACACCATTTCTTTTTTAGTGGTGTGCTTTTTTTTGATGGTTTAGGGGTGGTTCCGACTCTCTGTCTTGATTGCTGCTGTGCAGGATATTAAGGAGCAAATATAAAGACAAGTAAACATATTAAAGGGTGTTTTATATCTACATAGAGTTTTGGCTTTAGTTCTCTTGGGTTTACATGTGTTATCTTTGACTAATATTTAAATTTGTTTGATGATCTGAAACATTAAAGTGTGACAAACGTGCAAAACAATGAAAAATCAGGAAGGGGGCCAACACTTTTTCACACAA